ATAGATAGATATAGACAGACAGGATATTTAAAAAATACCAACTAATACAAATTAATATAAAGTAAGAAATAGTAAAAAGATATCAAAGAGAAAGTTAAAAATGCAAGAAAGGGGAAAATACAGTAAAAGGAAATAGGAAAGGAAAAGAAAGGTAAGGAAAGGAAATACAAAAAATAGCTTCCAATTATTGTAATTTCTCTACTTGATGCAGTCAATTTGGTCATCTCAACAAATTCCATCAACTTCACCATCCATTCCTCCATTGTGGGTAAAGTTGAATCTTTTCAGCTTTGTGCATATAATAGTTTTAATGCATTTGAATATAAGTACAAAGTTCCATATTTTTTTCTAGCTGCATATCCATCAATTTCAAAATAAATGTCTCTGATTTCAATTGTAAATGAGTTTTTAACATCTTCTATATTATTGTATATAATTGAGTCCAAAATATTTTGGCTTTTTTAAAACTCAAAAAAAAAAATAGAGTGAAAAATAAGTAAAAAATCAGAAAGCAACAGAAGAGGGAAATGCAGAAGAGAGAATTAGAACTAGAGAGACAAGGGGTAAAAAGGGGAGGGAGAAGATGAGAGGAAAGAAAGAAAGGAAAAGAAGTTATAAAGGACAGAAGCAAAATATAGAGAAACAGGGCCTATTTAGAGATAATGGGTGAAAACTTAATGGAAAAAGGGATTCTGCAAAGGTACATAAGATAGTATGGTTATATTAGAAGCAGAAATAATTTTAGAAAATATGAAACAATGTATGATTAAAATGTCTGATAAAATAGCTATTGTAATTCAGTGGAATGCTTGTCAATAAATAAATGTAACAAAAGGTATATTTAATAATTTATAAAACATATGTGAAGAGAAATAAGGGAAAAATTAATTATGGAGATTATATATGTTTTTAAGGAAGTATGATACTTAATTGAAAAGAAGTGTTAAAGATGTTAAGATTTTAATGATTATTAATGATAGAACTGAACTGGAATGGAATGAGGGTTTATAATTACATATATTTACAATCTTTCTTTTTTTAAAAAAGAATATAGTGTGTATTACAAGAATGTACCAAGCAGAATTCGATTGAAAGTTATGTATTATGTATTATATTGAAGGTCATAAACTTAAGGTATATATTGAAGTTTAAATAAGAGTTGAATGGATGTAATTAAAAGATATAAAGGTGTCATACTCCAATTAGCAACTACAGGAGAAAATTTGTTTAATGAGAAAAGATAATATGAAATTGAAACAGAACAGACAAAAGTATAAATATAATGATTTGAATTGAGATGAGATAATCAAAATAAAATTGAGAAAATTAAAAGAGGGGAAAAACTATATAGAAAATGTAAAATAGTATAAGATATGGAATAGAATACAAAAAGGAGCATGAAATTGAGTTTTGTGTCTGTATAAAGAAGTTCAACCCGGGACCGTGCTATTTTCAAAAAAGATGTTTTACTTGTACTTTGTATGTGTGAAAACCCAAATAAAACTTTATTTAAAAAAAACCAATATCTTGACTGTCACTTGTACATTTTTTTCCCTCACCATACAAATTTAGATAAGACTTTCTGCCATTTTGTAAAAGGTACATCATATGCAGAGGTGGTATTCAGCAGGTTCTGACCAGTTCTGGAAAATTGGTAGCGGAAATTTTGAGTAGTTTGGAGAAGTAGCAAATACCACCTCTGACTGGCCCCGCCCCATCTATTCTGTCTCCCAAGTCTCAGCTGATCGGCTGGGTCTTCTTTTGTTGCCCTGCACAGAAGAACGGAGCTGGGAAGCAGGTTAGTGGGGTGGGTGGGAATGGAGATTTTGCTGAAACCTTCCCCAAATAGGGTGGGAACGGAGATTTTACAGTATCTTTCCCTTGCCACGCCCATCAAGCCACACCCACAGAACCGATAGTAAAAAAAATTGAATTCCACCACTGATCATGTCAGAAGTGATATTATCTGAAATTAAAATAACATTCCAAGCAAGACGTGTTACAATCTGAACCAATGATCTCTCCATTAGTGGTTTGCACCCTTTTTGCAAAACCTGCGAGAAAGCCCCTATCAGCTTTGGATGTATATAGGGGAACAAAGTAAAATCCCCTTTAGTGAACAAACGATGGGGAGGAAGAAGTTGGAACCAGAGCTTCTGAAAAAACTTATGCTTGTGTTTCACTCATCCTCATCTGTACTCCTGCCTTGGCCTGGTGTGTCCATTTTTCCCCCAGGTTGATAGAGAATAAGATAGATGACAGAGATTGGGTGTTCGATAGACTGGAATTTTTATGCACAAACTGAATGTCTCATTTTTTTGTCATTATGTATGCACTATATTTCCCACTTTTCCCTTCCAAATTAATTGGGGATAAAATCTAACAGCTTTGTTGGACTATTGGCTGCATCTAAGTATCTGATCTAGTTATCTTCAGAAGTTGCTAGCTTCATCTAAGAGCAGAGGTGGTATTCAGCAGGTTCTGACCAGTTCTGGAGAACCAGAAATGGAAATTTTGAGTAGTTTGGAGAACCAGCAAATACCACCTCTGACTGGCCCCGCCCCCATCTATTCTCTGCCTCCCGAGTCCCAGCTGATCAGCTGGGTCTTCTTTTGTTGCCCTGCACAGGAGAATGGAGCTGGAAATCAGGTTAGTGAGGTGGGGTGGAAATGGAGATTTTACAGTATCCTTCCACGCCCACCAAGCCACAGCATGCCCACCAAGCTACGCACATAGCACTGGTAGTAAAAAAATTTGAATCCCACCACTGAGACAAATTGTTGTGGGGGGGGGGGGGAAATTATGCCAACACATACATTTTTCCTACCAGCCATTTTTAGAAGCATTTGGAGAATGAATAGATATTAGAATGAATTCTGTGCAAGTGAAATAAATAATTAAATTAGAATGCAGTGTTATTTCCCTACAATTAAATTACCATTTACTCTCTGCTACTCAACTTTTTTTTTAAGCACTCAAAAGGCAGATGAAACATTTCAGTTTAAATGTCTGTGAGGCAGGGGATCTTTTCAATTGTTTTTATTTTCAGGAGTTTCACAAAAGGAGGTCATAGTGATTCTAAGAGCAGTATGGTTTTTAAAAATATTTTAATGATAATTTTTTAATATAGCAACACAGTTAATACTGTTTTTGTCCCGTCCCGTCCCCCCCCCCCACAATATTTTGTACCTGATCTCCCAGAATTGAAGAATTCCTGCATGCTCATTCAACCCGAGTAACGTTTAAAGTGATGGGCAAATGTATGCAAAATTCCAAACTGTTTAACTTCACTCAACGGGAATAAAACTTGCCATTAATCAGTTTATAGACATAGTAATTGCATCCTGCAGTATCCACACCACCCAAGATGAGACAGGATAATCAAAAATTTATTTAACATGAGATTACATGCTAGTACAGTTGTAGATTTTGATCAAACGTTGATAGTGCATTTTCAGATGGTGCAAGATGGTGGGAGCAGTAATTGCTTTAGAGTGTCACTGGCCAATTTCTCTGTCTTTGAAGCAAGCAGAAGTGAAGTTGGTTGTAGGGTAGGAGACTCAAAGCAGTGGTGGGGTGGAGGAGCTCTCTCACATATAAAAGAGAGCCTGATATGATGTAAAATGTATGCTAAGGTAAAGCAATGGGAAATGTATCATTTAAAGAAGTGATGGCAAATCTATGACACACTATTATGGGTGGCATGCATTCACCAACCTCTGACAACTATTCTTGAAAGCACGACCCATTCTTGTGCAATTTTGGGAAGCTGTGGACGCCGCATGAGAATGCGGTATGCTCTTGTGAGGCCTCCAAAAATTGAGTGAGAATGGTGTATACACTTTTACATGCTTTTCAAAGGCAGCAGGAGCCATGGAAGTGTATTCTCTGAAGCTTCTTCAAGAACTAAGGCCTCATATGACCCACAGCAGCCTCAGGGCCTGTTAAGAGAGCATCGCCTGAAGGTAAATGGCTGTCAGATGGTGCTCCATTCAAAATCCAAGAAAGACACTCTTAGACTCCATTGTTATAGAGAAAAGGAACTTTTACTGGAAATAAAGTGATAGCGTCAAAGGAATTCTAGATCTGAGGATTTACACACGAAAAACACATATACAAAGTGATGGCAACGTTTCCACACACCATAGTTCAAACGCCTCATCCAATCAAAGATGTGTATAATGTCATGTGGGACATCTTCAGGTGGTGATGCAGACATCTGGCCTAGTTTGATAAAGAGCTGCAGTTGCGCAGTAAGCCAGTAGGCATAAACAATAACGTTTATACAAGTTATACAGTTCATTCTCTAAAATCTTCAGCACATTTCCCACCCCCACAAAGCCCAATTATTTCACCCTCCCATTACTATGGCAGCCGAAAGAAGCGAGAGAAAGGAGTCTTGAAGGCTGACATTGGCATGTGGCAGATCCAGAAAAGTCCTGAGCCATTGGGGCCATTGCACTGTTCCCTAAGGCTTGTGAACTTTGGGGAATGATGTGAGGTGACGATTTTCGCTGGCAGGAGTGGTGCTAGGGTTGAGGTTGAGCTCAGGTCTCTACTTCTGGCCAGCGGCACTTCCAGTGAGTGCCGCTGTTCAGGGTCATGTAGATAGAGAAGAGAATAGAGAATTCTTCCTGTTTCTTTGTGGGGAGGTGACTCATCACCAGACTCAAGTGAGGCACTTTCTAAATGTTTGACGTACTCAGCTCAAAAGGTTTGCCATCACTGTTTCCAAGAGTTCTATTTTCATTCATTGAGAGCTATTCTTGGTTCTTGTGATTCTTTTCAGACTTAATCTTGAATATATCCAAAGAGGCAGTCCCTTAAATCCAGGGGTGGGCTGCTAGGGGTTCGCAGGGGTTCGGGAGAGCCCCTAGCTAAGGTTCTGTGCAGTTTGGAGAACCCCCAAATCCCACTCCTCGCTGGACCTGCCCCTCCCCTCCCAGGAGTCCCCATAGGGCCCGTTTTGGATGCAGGTAAGTGCAGGGCGTGCACAGAGGCTCGGGGACGGTGAAAAATAGGCCCGTTTCTGGCTTCCAGAGAGCTTCCAGAGCCCAGGCAGGCCATTTTGGCCTCCGGAGCCAGGGAGGGCAAAAATGCCCCCCTCCCTGTGGTGCAGGAGGCCGACTAGGCCACACCCATATAGCAAACAGGCAGAGAACCCTTTGCTAAAACGTTTGAAGCCCACCACTGCTTAAATCCAAGGTTCAAATATAGTCCCAACCTCTCAGTCTAATGAAGACAGTACAGGTGCCACTGATTCTAGGAGGGAAAATGCAGGAAGGCTATTTCAGGTGATTTGGAGTGAACAAAAACACATAATTTCTCAAAGACAAGAGATGGAAGCCCAGACTAATTAAAAGTTTCTTGGAGTTCTGGTTCTCTGGCAGAACTCCCCCATATGAGACAAAACCCTTAGTGTGCAACTTCCTGCCTAGAGCCTGCAACACTGTTTTCATATGACCCTTTCCCTGGTATTTAGGAAGAGCGTAGCCATGGATCATACGCCCAAGGACATCACTTAGGGACCAGGCAACCAGCTGCCCTTTCTGATCTAGGAGGCAAGCATTTGGGAAGACCTCAATCAGGCTCCTGAGGTAGCGCAGGCTCCGATCATTGCTTGCAAAAGCCCAGGTGTCATTGACCAGAGGTGCATCAGATGGGCGGAGTGTCCCCAGGTGGAGGGGCTCACTTCTGAGCCTGAAAGAGAAAGCAATAGTGAAGGTGGAACAAAAACCATACTGGAAAAATCTTAGCTCACACCCAGCAAAACAAAGAGTCTAACTACAATAGATATTTCAAGAGAAACCATAATCTCAGAGTTATCCAGTATTTGAAATACACATATCTCATTTGTTCTGAAATTATCAATAGACTAATAGTCTCTTGAAAGTGCAGCAATCTATTTGGGATCCTGCTTTTTGTTTAAATCATCACATCCGTTACGTAATTGCTTTTGGAGAAACCAATGGAGCAGAAAGTTAACAAATAAATGAAATAAAACATATTCCTAGATTTCTACAGAGGATATGATTAGTTATAAAACTTTCAGAAGTCCTTAATTTCATTATTGAATTCCAGATAATTGCATGGAATTGAATCCACTTAATAGACCCCCCAAAACAGTTCCTTTAGAAAGAGAGTACGATCACTCACTGGTTCCGACAAAACATGGCTGCATCAGGGTGCAGCACTGCCTGGTAGAAATAGGGCTCCATGTGGACACGTCGAGCCTCTGCCATGTCTTTCACAGCCTGATAGAGCCCATCCTGGAGACCTGCATGGAATGGTAGTATCACAGGATACCAACCTGAGGTTCAGATTGAAACCTTATTTTGTCTCTGTGCCTAATACCCTGCAGTTGATGCCACGGAGAAATTCTCAGTCATGGGCAAATGGCGTTGATGACTGGAATTTCTCCTCTTTGCCTAGATTTATAGGGAATGAATGGCCACTACTCTAGGATACCAGGACAAATGTCATCCATCATGACAAAGCCTGGAATGAATTATCTGGCACAAATATAAAATAACAGAATGTAAGGATTTTTCAAGATACAGAACTTCTCCTGAGTTTAAAGGCCAAATGGCAGTTTTGCAGGTTCCTCTGAGGACTTCATGTATCAATTTTTTTGTGCTCCAATGAGGAAAAAAAAGACCAATAGAAAAGAACATGTGTAGCTTAGCATTCAGTTGTGTAGTCCTTGGTGCTCTCTGAGCTTGGTAGTTTTCTTGCAAAGGTTTCATTATGCACTGATGATATTTCTTAGCTTGGTAATGAAATGTCTGCAAGAAAACCATCAAACTCAGAGAACATCAAAGATGCCCCCCCCCAATTGATTAAAATGATTGGATCTTTCATAAAGCAATGTGACTGATTCTTCGATTAATACTTGAATGATTGTTCCATAGAAGTGGAGTTTATATTTATTTTTGCAAAAATAGTGATAAACTAATTAGAGAATTTGATTACTTTCTTAGTGATTTAATCTGTGCATGAACTATTAGTTGACAAGAATTATATACTGCAATGATACTGCTTGCATAGATAACATTAAGCTAATTGGATCTTACAATTCACAAGATTCCATGGCATGTTAATCAAACTATAAAGAATGTAGAACTTCTTCCTTTTGTGATTCTCCTATTTTAAACATTAATTGCAAAGTTAATTTCACTTTGTGTTTATTGTAAATTCCGGGCTATTTCCTAACACATATTTATTTTACTTTATATTTATTTTATTTTTGTGTGTTGAGTGTTGTGGAGTTTTGTGTGTCTGTGTGTCTGTGTTTACTTATTAATCAAATATATATAACCAACCCCAAAAATCACTCTGTGCACCCTACAAATACAAAAAAGGAAGAACAAACACCCCATCTTACCCTCAACAAAACTAAGCTAACTTAAACCAGGGTCCACAACTACACTTTTCCTAACAGTTGGGGGAACAACCAGGTTTTTGGCACTTTCCAAAATCTCCTAAGGGTGGAAAAAAAATTGCTAGAGCCCAGGCCTTGCCTTGCAGCTGGAAGGCTTTGTCCCAGTCTATGGCATCTTTGTTTTCCAGGAGGGTTCTGCAGGCATCTTCCTCCCGATAGAAAGCAGCATGCAGGTTGGCATAATAATCCCTGTTGTCCTTCACCACCTGCAGGAAGTGGCAGCGGGAATAGAACAGATGGCTGAGACCATGCGGAAGAGCTGATGAGGCCAGGCTCACTTGGAAGAGGGATATAGAAACAGGAGGCAAGGAGAACTGCTATAGCATCTCCGAGGGCCTCCTGAATGGCTTCTGTGCCCCAGATACAGGTGGGTTTTTCCCTCCCATTTTTTGCCAGGGGGCTGTGGGGGAAACCCATCAATCTTCTGCTGTAATTTCCTACCTC